TATATATATGCAGAGATATATATATATATATATATATATATATATATATATATATATATATATATATATATATATATATATATATATATATATATATATATATATATATATATATATATATATATATATATATATATATATATATATATATATATATATATATATATATATATATATATATATATATATATATATATATATATATATATATATATATATATATATATATATATATATATATATATATATATATATATATATATATATATATATATATATATATATATATATATATATATATATATATATATATATATATATATATATATATATATATATATATATATATGGGGAGGGTGTGGGCGGGAGGTAAGATTTTGAAGCGCAGCAAGGGAGCGGAGCGGGTGTATGGACGGGAGTGTGGATAGAGAAGGGAATAATGGGGAGAGTGTACGGGAGAGTGGATAGGTGGATGTGGAGGAGAGTTGGGATGGGATTGGGGTGGGTGGTTGGTAGTGGGGATGATGTGTATGGGTAGGGGAGTCGGTGGAAGGTAAGGGGAAGGGGGGGGGAGGGGGGGGAGGGGGGGGTGTGGGCGTACCTTGCCCTCGTCGATCTTGGGCGTGTTCTTCACGACCTGAAGGACACGCTCCTCAACACCGGCACGGGTAAGGCTGGTGGCAGCACCGTAGACGGCAGGGACAGAGGAGAAGAGGTTCGTCAGCGCAGGAGTCACTGCAGTGCGAAGAGAAAGCGCACGGAACATCTGTGGGCGGGTTCAAGTCGAGTGTAGCCTTCTGAGCTGACGTCTGCTGGCTTGGGTCGCTGGGCGGGTTTTGAGCGGGTGGCGGGGGCGGGGGTGGGGGCGGGGGTGGGGGATGGGGGATGGGTGTGTCAGAGTGAGGGGAGGAGAGCGGGTGTACTTAGTCCTTGACGGCCTGGACGTTGACAATGCGCGACTGCTCCTTGGCGACTGCTCCTTGGCATCGTCCTCCTTGCCGATCTTGATGGTAAGGACGGTGACCATGCAGGCATCCTCACCGGCATCGCTGGCCGAGATCAGCGTCGAGCGAGTCCGAATCCGGGAGCGGGACGTCCTCACGCATCTCACCGTCGTTATCCATGATATCCATGAGGGCAAGGAAGTCGTCGTCGGTGATGTCGCACACGGTGTAGGTCTCGTTGGCCATGGTGAAGTACTTGAAGACCGAGTGGTGGGTGAAAATCTCCGTGAACTTGCGGTCGGTGAGGACGCACTTGCCGGTCACGAACTTCTTGGCGTGGCCGTGCTTGCCCGGACGGGAGAGCTTGACGTCAGTGATCTTGCAGACGTTCTCGCCTGTTGGTTGTCGGGTGGTTGGTTGCGTTGGTGGCATGGGCATGGCGGTGAGTGGCGGGCGGTGGACGGAGGCGAGCCATCCCACACACAGGGTTGCGGGAGAGGCGCAAGCGAGGGGGAGGCCAAGGGGGAGATAGAGGGGATATGAAGAGCGAGAAACCGGGAGGGTATAAAGCAAGTAGGCATGTAAACACTTGGCAAGTTGGCAAAGGAGTACGCATGGGTGTGCGTTGTAGAGGGCGAGAGGGGGGAGAGCAAGCGCCTCGCCAAAAAATACCAAATATCGACCGTAGGCCGCTTCTCGGCGCCAAGGGAGCGACGAAAGGAGGTACAGGTGGGGGGGACGTGGGGAGAAGCGGGAGACAAGTCAGGGGTATGACTGTGTGGATGATACCCGTGGGCATGTGGTAGGCAAGTTGGGAGCTCTGGAGAGTACGGCAGTAGCGATGGGGAGGGAAGGAAGGCGGGCGGTGGGCGGGCGGTGTGGGGAGCTTCGATGGTGCACACACACACCACAATCCAATATTGTCATTGCTGGTTGGAGGTATGGGCATTGGCGGGAGAAGGAAGGAGTGGAGAAGCAAGATAGTTGGGCGGGAGGGGAGGGGATGAGATGAAGAAGGAGCATGGGTATACGTACCCTTGATAACGCAGTACGCGTTGTTCTTCAGGTCGGGAAGTGCATCTCAATACCGGCAGCCATGGTGAACGGGGGTTGTGAAAAGTCGAGTGGTGGCCTCCCCCCGTTTCGCAGGAAGGAGACCACGCTCAACGATAATATCAACGAGAGAATCATGATGACGGGCCAAAGGGCGGCCGGCCTGCCGCCCTTGCGCTATTTTTAATCATCATTTCGTGCCTCTGCCTCTTCATCGTTTGAATTAACAAGCAATACGTCACGCAGCATCCTGTTGTAGCAAGGTGCAGCCATGACCAAGCATGGCTTGTTCCTCCCGCCATTTAGGGTGCCATTCAGAAGCGAGAGCGAGGACCAGGGCTAGAGCGAGGCCAATTCTCTTCACATCGGCTGCCTTTTTTGAGCTATTACTTTTTCACCTCCCGCATTTCCCCCTCGATGATACCATCACATGGTAGCCAGCCTGGTTTGAGTCGCTCTCACACCTGACTTTGTCATTGCAGCTGTACCGTGGGTATACGACGACGACTACGTGTGAGTGTGAGAAACTTGAGACATAAGCGTGTCTGTCATGTGTATGTGGTGGCGGTGAGTATGGTGATGGGCAGCGGTTTGGCTGAAGACGCAGACGCACCTGTGGACGACGTTGCCAGCATGTTGTTCGGGGGATGGGATGGGAAGGAGGATGGAGGAGTGCATGCAGGGTAAAGGCGATGGCGAAAAGAAGCTATTTGGTTGACTCATGTGATGGGAGAGCCCAGCTGAAGCCGACAAGGTCGCCGTGTTGCAGACCAAGCTGAAGAAGACGCTCGAGGTGGCCAAGGCAGCGGTGCAGCGCGGAAAAGATGCGCAGGCCAAGGCGAATGCCGAGGCAGAGCGGGCTGATGCTGCCGAAGGCAAGGTGGCCGAGATGGAGGCGCGGGCGGTGGCGGCCGAGAGCAAGGTGGCCGAGATGGAGGCGCGGGCGGTGGCGGCCGAGAGCAAGGCGGTGTCGGGCGTTGAGGCGGTGGAGGCTGAGCTCGAGGCGCTCAAGACAAGGTACAAGAAGGCCGAGGGCGGGCTACGGACGGCAGTGGAAAAGTACAAGGCCGAGGTGGCCAAGACTGCCGCTCTCAACTCACAGCTTGCCGAGATCCAGGCGCAAATCAGTGTGTTGGCTGGCGAAAAGAGCGAGCTGGAGGCCAAGGTTCAGGCTGCCGAGGCTCGGGCTGCCGAGGCCGCCGCCGGAGCAGGCGAGGCAAGTGAGCTCCAGGCACAGATCGCCACTCTGGCTGGCGAAAAGAGCGAGCTGGAGGCCAAGGTCCAGGCTGCCGAGGCTCGGGCTGCCGAGGCCGCCGCCGGAGCAGGCGAGGCAAGTGAGCTCCAGGCACAGATCGCCACTCTGGCTGGCGAAAAGAGCGAGCTGGAGGCCAAGGTCCAGGCTGCCGAGGCTCGGGCTGCCGAGGCCGCCGCCGGAGCAGGCGAGGCAAAGTGAGCTCCAGGCACAGATCGCCACTCTGGCTGGCGAAAAGAGCGAGCTGGAGGCCAAGGTTCAGGCTGCCGAGGCTCGGGCTGCCGAGGCCGCCGCCGGAGCAGGCGAGGCAAGTGAGCTCCAGGCACAGATCGCCACTCTGGCTGGCGAAAAGAGCGAGCTGGAGGCCAAGGTCCAGGCTGCCGAGGCTCGGGCTGCCGAGGCCGTAGCTGGGGCAGGCGAGACAAGTGAGCTCCAGGCACAGATCGCCACTCTGGCTGGCGAAAAGAGCGAGCTGGAGGCCAAGGTCCAGGCTGCCGAGGCTCGGGCTGCCGAGGCCGTAGCTGGGGCAGGCGAGGCAAGTGAGCTCCAGGCACAGATCGCCACTCTGGCTGGCGAAAAGAGCGAGCTGGAGGCCAAGGTCCAGGCTGCCGAGGCTCGGGCTGCCGAGGCCGCAGCTGGGGCAGGCGAGGCAAGTGAGCTCCAGGCACAGATCGCCACTCTGGCTGGCGAAAAGAGCGAGCTGGAGGCCCAAATCGATAACGCATCAAGTCCGACTGCGTCCAATGTCGACGTCGACGCCGTGGTCGACGAGAACAAGAGCCTAGCAGCTCGGGTGGCCGAGCTCGAGGCCGAGGTCCGCGCCTCGCGAGCTGCCAGCGACTCGGACGCACTGATCGAGAAGATGCGCGGCGAGCTCATTGAGGCCGAGGCAAAGATCAGCAAGCTGGAGCGCGAAGTGGTAACCGCCACGACTGCCGCCGTTTCTGCCGCGCCTGCTGCTCCAGCCCCCGGGCCTCCGCCGCCACCGGCAGGCGGCCCGCCACCACCGCCGCCACCACCGCCACCACCGCCGGCCGGAGGGGGGCTGCAGAAGAAGAAAGCCCGCACCATGCCTGCCGGCGGCATGGCTTCGCTGGCGGCCGCAATCCAGGGCGCGTCTCTGCGCAAGACCGACGGGCCCGGGAGCGGAGGCGGCGACGACGGCAGCGGAGGCGGCAACGGGCCGGTCGGCATGGGCGGCATCCTCGCCGCACTCAAGGGTGGCGTCAAGCTCCGCAAGGCTGCTGCCCGCCGCAAGGAGCCCGAGAACGCCAAGACCGAAAACGACGAGATCGCCAACATGGCTGCTCGCCTTGCCCAGCGCCGTGCCAAGAACCCACAAACCTGGCGCCACTCGGTCAAGATGTCGCTCTCGGAAGCCGACGAGCTCTCCAAGGCGCTCGCCGAAGAGGGCCCTTCGTCGTAGGCCGGTTTACTCTTTTGTAGGCATGCTCTCCAGAAACGCACCAAGATCAAACTGATCCTGATACTCGCCGTCGTCCCACAGCTCGCCCAACGAGTTGAGGATGGCGCCCAGCTTGCCACCCTGGCCCGACGAGCCGGCGGCCGACTCGGCGGCGGCGGCGGCGGCGGCGGATTCTGGCGCGGCCGAGCCTGCGGCGGCGCCGGATTCCGCGTCGTCGCCAAGCTCAAAGAGATCGATGAGGCGGTCCGTCGACATGGTGAGCATGGACGAGTTCTCGGACGAGACCACGGTGTTGGCCACGTTGAGCTTGAACTGCTGCAGGCCCATGATTTTGTCTTCGAGCGTGCCCTTGGCAATGAGCCGGTAGACGTTGACGACCCGCTTCTGCCCGAGCCGGTGGGCCCGATCCATGGCCTGCAGGTCCTTCATCGGGTTCCAGTCGTGGTCCATAAACACCACCGTGTCGGCGCCGGTCAGGTTGAGCCCGAGCCCGCCGACCGAGGTCGTGAGGAGGAGTACGTCGATGGTCGGGTCCGAGTTGAACTTGTTGACCACGGCCTGTCGCTTCGACGACGCCACCGAGCCATCGAGCCGCATGTACGTCACGCCCGGAAGCACGCTCTCAAACACGTCGCTCTCGATAAGGTCCAGCAGCGCCTTGGACTGCGCGAAAATGAGGACGCGATGCCCGCCGCCGCCTGTCCGCGTCTCCGGTGCGCCGGTGATCCCGCACTGCTCCAGCAGTTCGGCAAGGACCTTGAGCTTGGGAGCCTGTGCCAGCGTGTGCAGCGCCTTGTCTGGCTGCGCGTACCGTCCCATGACCTCGGCATACATGCCGTGCGACGGCGTGAGCGCAAGCGTCGGATGGTTGATCACCTTGCGCAAGTACTGGAGCGTTCGGAAGATGTGGACCTTGGACGACGCGCCCTTGCCGCCAAGCCCGACCTCGTCGACCGCTGCGTACAGCTCGCGTTGCAGCGGCGAGAGCGTGCAGTACACGTCCTGGATGATCTTGGGCGGCAGGTCGTCGAGTACCTCCTCCTTCAGCCGCCGCATGAGGAACGGGAGAACCTGCCGGTGGAGCGCCTCGAGCGCCAGCGCCCCGGCCTCCTGCTCGGCCTCGGAGCACTTGGCGTCGCGCGACGCCACAATCGGCTTGCCGTACACAGCCTGGAACCGCCCCTCGCTCCAGAGAAAGCCCGGCATGAGAAAATCAAAGAGCGACCAGAGCTCCAGCACGTTGTTCTGGATCGGCGTGCCAGAAAGAATGAGCCGGTGCGAGGCAGGCACTCGCTTCACCGCCTGCGCCACAAGCGACTTGGGGTTCTTGATCACGTGGCCCTCGTCAAGGACGCAGTACCCGAACGGGAGCTGCGAGAGGAGCTCCACGTCGTTGCGCATCACCTCGTATGAGCACACAACCACCGGCAGCGCCTGCGACGGCCGCTGCTCCCGTGGCGCCCACGCGAGCGGTGGCGGCGGTGGCGGCGGCAGCGCACCCACAGCAGGCTCGCCCTTGCCACCCTTGGCGCCCTTGGCGCTCTTGCCTGCCTTCCGCACTGCCTTGATCCACGCTGCGTAGGCATCGACACCGGTGACCCAGCCGCGGAGCGCTTCCAGCCGCTTCTTGGGCGGCCCACGGAAAGCGATCGGGCAGAGAATGCCATCGGGCACAAACTTGGTCATCTCCATGGCCCAGTGCTCGACGAGCGTCGTCGGCGCGACAACCAGGGTCGGCAGGCCGAGTGAGGCCGGCGTGGCGTGTGGCGCGGCTGCAGCCTCCACCGCCGACGCCGCCACAATGGCAATGGTCTGCAGCGTCTTACCGAGGCCCATGTCGTCGCAGAGGACGCCATGGAGGGCGTACTTGCGGAGAAAGGCGAGCCAGTTGAGCCCGTCCTGCTGGTACGAGCGGAGTGTGATGCCACCCTTGAGCGTAAACGGGAGCTCGTACGGCTCGAGCTTGGTCGGATCGAGAAGCTGGTCGAGGAACGACCGCTTGGCGCTCCGCTGGGCAACAAGCTCGGCCGACATGCCCGCGGGCGACGGCGCGCCCGCCTCGAGCGGCATGAGCTTGATGAGCGAGCCAAAGGTGTTGGCCATGGCGGTGCGGACGGCGGCAACAGGATCCGACATCCGCCCGAGCACCGGCACAATGATAAAGACGAGATACGGGAGCACATCGTCGCCGAGCGCGTCGACAAGCGCGTCGACGGCTGCTGCCGCGCCCAGCCGCCGCAACGGCGACGTGCCGTCGTCGAGGAGCGGAAGGACAGAGGAGATGACGGTCTGCATGACGGTCAGCGTAAAGCTGCCAGCAAGCGCGGCAAGTGCGCGTGACGCGCCGTGGCGGACAGCCGCGTTGGCGACGACCAGGCATGCAAAGACACCCGGGAGCAGGCTTGCCACCTTGGCCTCGACCTCTGGCGAGACCGCAAGCTTCGGCGCAAGCGTGGCAAGAAGTGCAAGGGCGCGGACGGCGGCCTGCGGCTCGGTCGCCGGCGACGCGAGGCCAGCGGCTAGGATCTTGGTTTCGAGGTGTGGGAGGAGCGAGAAGAGCGAGGCGCCAAGCGAGTCTGCGAGTGCGTGGAAAAAGGCGGCGGCACCGATGGCAGCGCGAGCGGCACGGTCGGCGTCGGCACCGATCAGCTTGGGCGGATTAAGCTCCGCAAGGTTGGCCGGGAGCAGAGCCGGCTCGCGGTCTGTGCCGGCGAGAGCCTCAGGCCAGTCGGCGGCAGCGACGGTCGCCGGGTCGCCAACCAACGCGTTGAGCATCGAGCCGCAGATCTTATTGGCGGGGCCCTTGGGCAGCCGCGGGAGGACAGCCTCGACTAGGGCAACGAGGTGGGCGGCAGCGTCGGCCTGCAGCAGGGGCACATCGAGCTTCTTGACGGCGGCGACAAGTGCCTTGACCAGCGGGTTGAGCTTGGGCGGAAAGTGGGCAAGTGCGACAGCAGCGCCGGCAGCGGTCGCCTGTACGCACAGGTGGAACTTGTCCTGCAAGCTCTGGAGGAAGCCGATGGTCTCGAGGAGCTGGTCCTGGGCAGCGGTGCGGGCGGCAGCGGCGTCGCCGGTCCGTGTCAGCGGCATGTCCCGGTCCATGGCGGCAAACGCGGTGGTGGCAACGTAGGCGGCGGCGGCGAGGACGTCAGTCTCGGCCGATGGCGCACCGGCGAGCGCTTGTGTTGCCTTGGTCTGCGGGAGGCCGTGCGAGGTGAAGAGACTCACCAGGTTGCCCATCTGGGCGCGAAGCCTCTCGAGGAGGAGCATGAGCTCACCGTAGAGGGGAACAGCGCTCGCTTTGGTCCCGAGGCAGGCGAGGACAGCATCGAGGAGCGGCGAGCGGAGATCGGGGGTGTTCGGGGCCCAGCGGGCCAGGATCAGAGCACCGGCCTGGCGCTCAACCGAGAGCTGCGAGGCAAGAAGCGACGAGAGGAGCGAGACAAACGGATTGGCCTCGGTTGGAAGCGCGGCGGCGTACGCGGCGGCAAGGAGGCCGAGCGCAGCCGACCCGTTTAGCCGCATCCGCACGCCGGCAGTCCGCGACGAGATGCCGTAGACTGAGGAGAGCGCCGGATCGGCAGCGAGGCCGGAGGCCGGCTGTGTAGAGGGCGGCGCTGGCGCGGGAGCATTGCTCGACGAGGCCACCTCCATGGGCTGCGGCTTGGCACCCTCGCGAGTCGCCTTGGCAGTCGACCGAAGGCGGGCCGAGTGCTGCGGGATAAGGAGGAGCGAGGCGTCGAGCTGGGTGCCCGACGGCGTGACAAGCAGCTTTGTCCACGCCAGCAGGTGCGGCGAGGTGACCGAGACGATAAAGGCGGCCGAGTCGTCGAGGGCGAGGAGAGCGGACCACAGTTTGCGCGAGGCGGCGACGAGCGACGGCTTTGTCTCGAGAAGCATGTTCTGGAAGAGGAGGCGGAAGAGCGGACCCATGCAGGTCTCTGCGGAGAGCCATGCGCCGGACGAGCGAGAGAGGAGGGTGGAGAGGGTGGTGAGGGTGGCGGTGCGGACGGCGGCGTCGTTGTGGCGGAGAAAGGGGAAGAGGCGCGGGATGAGGTGCGCGAGGCGGGCCGGCGGCGCGCCATGGAGCATGTGGCTCGACTCGGCCGAGCCGGCGGCGGCAATGTCCGCGGCCGCGGCTGCGGCCGGATCGGCGGTCTCGTCGTAGTTGTACAGCTTAAAGTCCGAGTCAGGCGGGGCAGCGGCGTAGGTGGCAGCGAGGAGCTCGAGCGAGGCCGCGGTGGAGACGGTGAGGTCGTCGAGGTAGAGAAGGGCGTCCCAGAGGACGGAGAGGAGAGGGCCGACGAGGCGCGGGAAGGCGTCGACGATGTGGGAGGCGAGCGGGGCGAGGGTCTGCGCCGCGACAGCGCGGACGTCGTCTTCGCCATCGGAGAGATGGCGCATGACCGGGCGGAGGATGAGCGGAAGCCAGGCGGCGACGAGGTCCATGCGAACGAGGACGACGTACTTGATGCCGAGGAGGCCGCCGTGGCGGACTTGCCAGTGCGGATGGTCGAGGAGGGCGAGGAGGGCCGAGACAAAGCGCGGGACGTTGTCGTCGACCATGTGGGCGACAAGAGCACCCATGGTCTGAGCCACGGTCTCACGGACGGGAGCGACGACGAGGCCAGAGACGTAGTCGCCGAAACGGTCGAGGAGGAGGACGCAGAAGAGGCGGAGAGCGGTGTCTTCGACCCATGCGGCATGGAGGGCTGCGTTTGCAGCCGGGCTCACGCCGTTGTGCATGCCCGCCGTAGCGGCATGGTGCTTGAGGATGTCGCGGAGGGCGGCGGCGGCGCCATGGCGCGTCTCCCAGCGGTCGTTGAAGATGTCGTAGAGGAGCTCGTCGGTGAGCGGCTCAAACGGCCACTCGGGCGTGGCGTATTGTTCCCACTCTGTGGCGGCCGGGTCGTCGTCATCAACAGCCTCGACCACGATCTTGTTGCCTGCTACAGCGCGTTTGCGGGCGAGCTTCTTGGTCTTTTTTGTCGGCGGAGCCATGACCGACGAGACGGCGCCGGTCTCGCGGGCGCGCTTGCGGCGGGCGTCGCGCTTGAGCTGGTTCCGCTCGCGGGCCGAGAGCCCATCGAGGTCGGCGATGACCTCTTCGGCGGCCGGGGCGGAGCTGGCCGAGGAGCCCGCCGGCTGCGTCGTCGCCTTCATCTCCAGATCGTCGTCGGCAATCATGTCTGCGAACATGTCGCCGCCGATGGTGCTATCGCCGAGGCCGAGACGCATGTTGAGCGCCTCCCGGGCGGCAGCGAGCCGGGTGGCGCGATTGGCAGAGAGCGAGCGGGGGTCGAGGTCGTACTCTTGCCCGGCCGAGCCGGCAAGCGGGCGGGCGTTGGCGAGGACGGCGTCAATATCAAACGAGTCAAAGGAGAGCAGGCGCGAGTCGGCGGAAGGGCGATCTTCGACCGACGACGAGGAAGCGCCGGCAGCCGACGGCGGAATGATGACCGGGTTCCACGGCGGAGTAGCCTCAGCCAGGGCACCCATGGCAGCACCAGCTGCCGTCCGTGTCTCCCACTCTGGCGATGTGAGGAGCGGTCTCACCTTTGCCACTAGAGGGAACAGATGAGAGGCATTGGCTTTGACCAGAGAGCCCAATTGGGACGCTGCCGCCTTTCGTGTTGCCGTAGACGAGCCTGTGGTGAGAAGGGTGAGCAGTCGGTCGAGATGGGTCTCTGCCATGGCTTGTTGTCCACGATGTTGATGGTTGTGGTTGTGATTGTGGTGGTTGTGGTGGTTGTCGTCAACTCTGTGTCACTCGGGTGGGTGGCTGTGGTGGCTATGGTTGTACTTGTGCACACAGTGGTGGTGTGTACAGTTGTTGTTGTTGTGGTGCGTATGGTAGTTGTGGTGGTGTGTATGGTTGTGGTGGTGTGTGTGTGGTGGTGACGGTGGCTGTGGCTGTGGTGGTGGCTGTGGTGGTGGTGGTGTCAGTATCCGTCCGAGTTGGTCTCCTTACTCTGTGACATGGTCGCTCGCCTCTACTTGGCCTGCGTAGCCAATGAGCTGACATGACGGACATCGAATCTGACACTCTCGACTCTTGAACGTAGTTGTTGGAGAACAATGGGAGGTAAGTATATGCCTGCTCCTGTGCTTGATGTGGTGCCTGTTATGGCTGTGGTGGCCATGAGCGTGGTTGTGGTAAAGGGGCGGGGAGAGGGGGGGAGTGCAAGAGGATGGATGACATGCGGGTTGGGCTGGTGCCCGAGCTCGACTGGAGCGAGCAAGTCGGACAAGCCGGGCGGGATGGGCAAGCTGTGATATGATGTGATATGGTGTGGTGTGATGTGGTGCGTCTTGTACTCATGGTGATGGTGATGATGACGATTATGACGATGGTGACCATGATGATGACCTTGATGATGACGATGTTGATGACGATGTTGACGATGATGATGACATCCGTCCCGTGACAGTGCCTGCTCTGTTCAGATACCTCTCCAAGAGGTACCCACGGATTGTGGTGGATGTCAAGGAGGATGTGCCGGATGAGGGCAAGGATGAGGTGGATACGTCCAAGGCCAACCCAAACGGAATGGAGTTTGACTGTCTTTACCTCGACATGAACGGCATCATCCATCCGGCGTCGCACCCCGAGGACAAGCCGGCGCCGTCAACCGAGGACGACATGTATCTGGCCATCTTCGAGTACATCGACAAGGTCTTTGCCTGTGTCCGGCCACGGAAGATTCTGTACATGGCCATCGATGGCGTTGCGCCACGGGCCAAGATGAACCAGCAGCGCGCGCGCCGGTTCCGCGCGGCACAGGAGCGCGAGATGCGGGCTGCGGCCGAGGTCCAACTCCGCGAGGAGTGGCTGCGGCTCGGGCGCGAGGTGCCGGAGGAGACCGAAGGCGGCTTTGACTCGAACGTCATCACCCCGGGCACGCCGTTCATGGCGAAGCTCTCCGTCTACCTCCGTTGGTACATCTCGCTCAAGCTCTCGACCGACCCGGGCTGGGCTGGCATTGAGGTCATTCTCTCGGACGCGCAAGTGCCTGGCGAGGGTGAGCACAAGATCATGGAGTTTATCCGGGTCCAGCGGGCGCTACCCGGGTACGACGCCAACCAGCGTCACGTCATTCACGGCCTCGACGCCGACCTCATCATGCTCGCACTCGCCACCCACGAGCCCCACTTTTACATCCTCCGCGAGCGCATCATCTTTGGCCCGCCACTCATCTGCAAGGTGTGCGGCCAGCCTGGGCACGCCGAAGACAAGTGTAAGTTTGCGTCGGCCGAGGCCAAGGCCGCGCTGGCCGGCGAGCGCAAGGAGACGAGCGCAGCAACGCCGTTCCAGTTCCTCCGCATCCCGGTCCTCCGCGAGTACCTCGCCAAAGAGTTTGAGGGCCCCCACTACTCGGTTGCCGGAGGCATGGACCTTGAGCGCATCATCGACGACTATGTGTTTCTCTGCTTTCTCGTGGGTAACGACTTTCTCCCGCACCTCCCCTCGCTCGACATTCGCGAGGGCGCCATTGACCGACTCATGGAGCTGTACAAGTCGCTCTTCCCCACCATGGGTGGGTACATTACCGAGAACGGGCGTCTGATCTGGCCGCGGGCGCAGGCGGTGCTCGCGGCGCTCGCAGTCGACGAAGAGTCGATCTTTGTCGAACGGGCGGCCGATGCAGCCAAGCGCGACGCTCGCGACGAGCAGCGGACGGCTGAGATTGCGTCGCGGGCGGCTGAGCGCGAGCACTGGAACCTCGTGCGCCGGTACGCCACTCACGTTCCGCGTGCGCCCAGCGATGTCAAGGCCATCGAGGACGCGCTGGCGGCCGGCAAGACGTCGTCGGCAACGGCGCGGCAGGCGATGGCGGGCGGCGGTGCCCGCGAGGCGTCGCAGTACTCGGCCGAGGATCTCGCGGCGATGCTGACGCTGTCGGCATCGGAGCCACGGCGCGAGCTAGCGGCGCGGACGCCGATCCGCGACGCCGACCTCCTCGCCCTCTACGACGGCATCCGGCAGGTCGCCTCGGGCCCGCCGGGCTCGGTCAAGGTATTCTCAGAGCTATCGGGCTTTTACCGCGCCAAGGGCCACGCGTACGCAGAGACGCTCGGCCTCGAGCACGACACGCTTGGCGGGCACCCGCACCAGGCGCTGCGCGTGACCAAGACTGGCAGCAAGCCTATCGACGACGCCACAGCCTTTGCTGCCGACCTCAAGAGCGCGGTCAAGAGCGCGGCAACCGTCTCTGACGCCGACGCCGAGAACAAGACGCGTCTCGGTGACTTTGGATGGCGCGAGCGGTACTACGAGCTCAAGTTTGGCAGCGCCGGAACCGATGTGAGTGTGGTGGCACACGCGTACGTGGAGGGCCTCGCCTGGGTCCTGCAGTACTACTACTCGGGCGTGCCGTCGTGGAACTGGTACTACCCTTATCACTATGCGCCGTTTGCGACCGATCTCGCGTCACTCGAGACGTTTGAGGCCAAGTTTGAGCTCGGCAAGCCATTCAAGCCGTTCCAGCAGCTGATGGCAGTCTTCCCAGCTGCATCCGGACACGCCATTCCGGCGCCGTTCCGCGCGCTCATGACTGCTGACGACTCGCCGATCCGCGACTTTTACCCGCTCGACTTTGGCCTCGACATGGAGGGCAAGCGCTACGCATGGCAGGCCGTAGTCCTCCTCCCGTTCATCGATGAAGCACGGCTGCTGGCGGCGCTCGAGCCGCTGGAGGCCGAGCTCACGCCCGAGGAGCGAGCTCGCTCGCTGCCGGGCCTCACGTACTACGCGGTCCGGGCTGACGCTTCGGTGGCCCAGACGCTCGAGCTCTCAGAGTTTGCCGCGAGTGCCGATGCTGCCGCGCCTCAAGCCAACAGCGGGAAGCAAAAGCCTGGATGGGCGCTAGCACTCGTCGCGGCGGGCTGTAAGGAGTGGCCTGGCGCCATGGCTGGCTTTGTCTGGCCGTGCGGCGCAACCCGCCGGCCGGCCTCTATTTATCCTGCCGAGCCGTTCAGCGGGCGCGACCCGTCAAAGTACTCGATGATCCCGTTCGACAACAATGCACTGATCCTCGCGTACGGCCTCCCGCCCAAGCGGGCCCACCGACCGTTTCTCATCCCGGGCGCCCAGCGGCCCAAGCCGATCCTGCGCGCACACGACCGCCCGGTCCGCGGGCGCGGACGCGGACGCGGGCGCGGGCGCGGGCGCGGGCGCGGGCGCGGACGCGGGCGTGGACGTGGGCGTGACTACTCGCGCGGCTATCAGCAGCCCGGGCGCGGGGGCTACTCGCGGGTGCCGCAACGCGACCAGCCGCGTGGCTTCCAGGCTGCGCCAAGCCTCATGCCACACGTCCACGGCCATCTGCCTGCGCGCCGGATCATGCCGACCGCGCACTGGACACCAAACCCATTCCCGCACCCGGGCCCTGCTCCGTGGGCGGGCGGCGGCGCAAGCGGCGGCGCGGCCAGCAGTCACAACGGCAGCAACGTGTCGCGGCCGCCCCTCCCTGCTGCGCCGCAGGAATGGGTCCCGCCGCGGGCACCGGGCGCGCCACCGGCGCCGCAGCGGCCTGGCGGCCCCGCTTCGTTTGGCGGGATGTACGCGCCGCCGCCGGCATCGTCTGCGCCAGCACCGCCGTCGCGCAAGCGGCATTGGCGTCCGCAGTCGGGTGACACATCAGCTGGGCGCGGAGGGCAGAACAGCGGCGGGCGCGGCGGTCGGCGCGGCGGCGGACGCGGTGGTGGGCGCGGTGGAAACCGGTCGGCAGCGGCATCGATCCGCGAAATGCTGCGCAAGAAGCGCAAGGGTCTCGATGGCGACTTTATTGTCCCACAGTAGCTCGTGTTTCAAGCGTTTACGCCCAGTCTCTGCCTCTGCGCTCGGGCACATGTCTGTGAGCCGTGGATGCGGGGGATTGTTGTCGACTATGCAGCACAGCGATTGGCAATTTCATAGCCAGCAACCTTCATGAAGACTCGCCGGCAGGGACTGCCCTGCGGAGCCGCAGCAAGAGTTGATAATGCCGTTTGCGGGCCGTTTGCGTGGCTCGCAGTGATGCTTGTCGGGTAGCCGTGCCTCTAAGGCGCTGCGGCTGGTGGCGACTAATGTGTCGGTGACAGGCAGCGCCACACGTGTGTGCGTCGGATGCTCGCGTTTCCACTACGTTTGACATGGCTGGACAAACGTCACGCGGTGCATTGGTAGCTCAGCGAAGCTGGCTGATGCCGGAGGGAGTGTCGCTGTAAAGGCTAGATGCTTGCGGATGGGGCGAGAAGCTGTTGTACGGTTGTTGGGGCGCTTTCTGTCGGCAGTGCAGGCGTACGGGGAGATGCGGGATGTTTCATGGCTGGTTCAGGTGGTTATTTGCCGGAGTGAGTGTCTGCGCGGGTTGTTGCCAATCACTTCTAATTGGAGGTACCTCGGTGGATTTTTCGCCGACCTTGACCAGACGAAACAGAAATCCCGCATTGTGCGACACCCCACTCTGCCGACTCGTGAGGCCCCTTCTGGAGCTAGCAGGTATTTTTCTGTCCCTCCAAGGTCACCAACAGGTATGTTGATACGTATGGTAGTTGGCGCGCGTTATGGTGTTCGTATGGTAAATACTTAGTCCTATGTAGCTCCCCCTCCCCCCTAGGGAACACCGTTGGGTTGGGCCGACTTTTGGTCAGCGGTCAAAAAATGCCCGCATCAGTCGTTCGTCTGGTCTCCGTTGCCAGCCTCATCCCCTGAAAAATGTTCCATGAAAAAACGGCAAAGGTTGATCGAGATCTATCCAGCTTGCCACCACTCGACTTCATTCAGTGCATCGTACGGTATGTGAGTTGGCCAGCCAACGCATCCGCAATTGGGCAATGTGCGGCCATGCCATGCCTACCATGGTGAATGATGTGTGTGTGGGGAGGAAGGGGGGGTTCTTTGGGATGCCTTCGGCATGGTGTGTCGGTTCCGGCCCCCTTTGTCATCCCCGTGGGCGTGTGTATGTGGCAGCTGACGAGGTCCGCGACTTGGCTTCGCTGTCACTACGTAGACTCTGGTCAACCGAAGCTTTTTTCGCTCGGCTTCGTGAAGGCTGGTGCTTTGAGGCAATTTGCACGTACGTTTGGCATGGTTGGCATCATCCCACGCGAGCGTTTGTTTTTTGTTATTGAGTTGACCAGGTGCGGAGAAGGGGCGGGGGGCAGTGGTCGACGACCCACAGAACGTTGCCCACCTCCTATCCTCTTGCCCCCCTTACACCTCACTTACATCCCCATCCTCCACAAGTATAGCATCTTGACAACATCCCCGGCGTCTTGCTTCCCTGGAATTGACCCAGTCGTTACCTAGTTTCAACCAATCCAAGCCGATACCTCTGCTGACATGCCGAATCGCAAGCGTGTCTCGCAGGCGTGCGATTTTTGCAGAACAAACAAGCGTCGCTGCTCCGGCTGGCCGCCATGCACGCAATGCGTCCGCCGCAAGCGCGAGTGCACCTTTGAGATGGACCGCATCCGGCGGCCGGCAGTGAAGCCCGGCTCGGTGCCCATCGAAGAGGTCGACCGTATTGCCACCGAGCGCCGGAATGCGGCCAAGGAGGCCAAACGCCGTAAGTCATCTGCCTCAAAGAACAGTTCGGGCTGCCCGAAGCCGTCGACCGGGTCAGGCTCGGGATCAGCGCCGACGACTGCGAGTGGCGCGACTGTCCCGCAGGCGAGTGAGATGCCAACGCCGGTCATGGCCGCTACCTCCGGGTTCGTCGGTGGCTACTCGCCCGGCAGTTTTTCGTCGTCTGCGGCGTCATCGGTGCAGCCGATGCCTGGGCTGTACGCCGGCGCACCGCTAGCTGGGGCTCCACCGGTGACCTACTCGCGGGTGATGGCGACGGAGATTCCGACGGTGCCGTCGCCGCTGGTGGCGGACCCGCCACTGGCCGGCCGGGTGGCTAACCGGGTCGGCGGCCTCCAGCTCGACTTGCTTAATGTGGTGGCCAACGGTCTTCCGCCGGGCCTCGACACCTGGTCGCCGCTTCCGAACCTCCTCACGCTCTCAAACATGACCGAGACTGAGCTCTTTGGGCCGGCCGAGGTGCCTGCGGCCGGCGCCGAGGCCGGCGACGCCTCTGCGGCGAACAGCAAGCGGCGGCGCGACGATGACGGCGAAGGCCACCTCGGCGCAACCGATGCGTCGCGGCCGCGCAAGATGGCGCGGCCGCTGCAGGCGCCGTCTGGCTCTGTCTCGCCGTCGCCAATCGGCATGGTGAAGCTTCCGCCCGGCCCGCCGCTCCCGGCGATTTTCCAGACGACCGAGTCGAAGCAGGTGCTTGCGCTCCTCGTGGAGACGTACTTTACGTACATCAATGCGATTCCCGGCCTTGTGGTGCGGCGGAGCGAGTTTGAGGCGCTTGCGGCCGGTGGCACGCCCCCGAAGCTCAGCATTGCCGTCCACGTCCAGTTCTACGTGGCGATGGCGCTTGCGGCGTCGGGACTCAAGCACGCGGTGATGGCGGCGCAGCTGATGCAGCGCGCGTCTGAGCTTGTGCCGCAGCTCGCGGGTGCGCGCGATGTCGACACGGCCGTCGCCCACACGCTGCTCTTCCTCTCGTACATGGGGGTGAACAACGAGCTGGCGGGCACGTTCCTCTCGGCAGCGCACACGGTGGTGAGCGCGCTTGTCGACCGCAGCTCCGTTGTGGCGGCTTGTGGCGACTCTGTGGAGCTCGACGCGCTCCTGACCAAGTTTTCCACAGGCATGGTCCTCTCGTCGGCTCACCAAGAGCAGGCGCGGTTTGTGATGGCCAACCTCTTTGCACTTGTGCACGCGGACACGCTGGCCAAGATCGAGTCGACTGACGCTGACGCACTGTTTTCGATTGGAGAGGCCAAGCTCCGCGAGCACTGCCCCGAGTCGGCGAGCGTGCGCGGGTACCGGCCGCTCTCACGCGAGATCGCCACGCTCCTTCTCTCGGCCATTCCGACGGACAAGCTCTTCTCGATGGTCTCGATGCTCCTCGACTCACCAGGGCTGACCGAGGTCGAGCGCGGGTACCTGGCTGTGGTCCGTGCGGCGGTCGACACCTCGGTGATTGTGCTCGACCAGTGGGACCCGGCGTTTTCGTCACTCCCCGAGCTCCGCGCGCTCCTCAGCTCGTTCACCACGACGCACCCAGTCGGCTCGTCGCCGGCCGAGGTCGAGTCCCGCAAGCGTGCGCTCGCCGACGCGGCGCCGCTCCTGGACCGTATGCTCGCGCGGCTGATGGCCATCCGTACGCTCTTCCTCCGTGACGTGGCGGCCGGAGTGCCCAACCCCGACCTCGCTTTTGGTCCGCTCACCCTCCTCGTCCTCGCCACCGTCTCGACGTTCATCGGCTTTCTTCACGGTATTGGTGGCAACCAGGAGAGCATGAACAAGATGTGCCGGTCGGCGGTCGAGTACATCGAGCTCGTGCCGCCGTTGGGCGCACGGCTGCTGCACTCGACGGCGCTGCCGGCGGTGCCAACGCTTGTCACGCTGGCGTTTGTCTTTTTCCGCGCTGGCGACAGTGCGGCGCTCGCGCGATCGACAGTGCTCCTCTCGGCACTGGCGCGCTCGTCGCGTGTTGCCGCTGCCGCCCTAGCGCTCATCGAGTCATTGACCGACCCGATTCAGCAAGTCGCAGCTATGACCGGCACCTCGGCACAACAACTATTGGCGCAGCAGCAGCTCGCGAACGGCATCGGCACCAAGAACGCCCAGCACCAGGCCCGTAACGCTCTTCTCAACCGCAAGTTTGGCGTCCAGCAGAGTCATCCATCTGGCCGCGTCGACTCGTCGCCGCAGCCGGGCGACGTTGACACGCTCGGCAACCCTGGCCTTGGCCTCGGCACGCTCAACGTTCGCACGGCAGACTTTCTCTCGGCCGCCCTCAAGACGCCCAAGACTACACCCGGCACCGACTACAATCCCGCAGACATGCTCGCTTCCATGGATCTTTAATCTATAATGAAACACAATCACACGCTGAGAGCGCTTGCTGGCGGTGGTGTGGCGGGTGGCGGGGAGTCTCGTCCGAACACGCCACACACGAAACACAGCGAGCGAGGCAAGGGCGGAAGCCAAGTTGGAAGCATGGCAGAGACGACGGGACGAGTCGGCGACCCACGACCTGCGCTCAACACGACAGGCCGCAGCTTTGAGGGTGTCGGCGAGGTGTGGATCCCTGTCTCGCAAGCAAAGGGCGAGCTGGCGTGGCGGGAGGAGCTCGTCTCGGGCCTCATCGTTGAATCGCGCATCGAAGCCAAAGTGGCGGCATCGGCTGCAGCAGCCGGTCACGGCGTCTCGGCGCCGCCGCTCATCTTTTTTACTCGGCAGTGGTTCGAGTATGGCCTGGCTCTGACCCAAGATCGCGACGGGACGGACTCTGGCTTGGGCTCCGACATCGGCCGACCGACAGGTCTGGTCGAGGCGATGGCTAGTGAGACCGAGGACTTTGTTGCCTTTGTGGACGCGGTGATCAATGTGCTCGAAGTCGATCTGGGCCTTGTTGACTACCACTGGCAGCTGTTGCTGTTCAAGCATGCTGTGCGGGGCAAGAAGTCGCCCATCCGTGCGCACGGCGTTCGAGTGTACTACGGCAACGTCGACCGCGACGGCCCATACAACTCGGGCCTCACCTGCCTCTCGTGCGAGACCGCGAGTGTCGAGGCGAGGCAGTCATTTGTGACCGACAACGAGGAGGCGTGCATGTGGCTGGACGCAAAAGGCCGGCCGATGTGGGTGGTGACGCCGCGGCGGCACGTCGACGCGCTCTCCGAGTGCACGGCAGCCGAAAAGATGGCGATATTTCAGCTGGCGGCGACAGGGCTTGGCGCGTCAGTGGCGGCCGCCATGGCCAAGGAGCCGGCCGGTTTTCGGTTCTCGACGCTCAAACTCAACCACGGAACGTACCGCAATTGGGAGCACCTCCACCTCAAGATCTCGCTCCACGGCTCAAACTGGCGGCAGGTGGCGGAGGCGGTGGCAGCGAGCCTCCCCGGCGAGCGCACTGATCTCCTCGACCGACTCGACACGCTGCGGGCCGAGGCGGCGGCGCGCAAGGCGGCGCGTAAGGCACGAGGGGAGAGCGGCAGTAGCGGGCGTGGAGGAGGCAAGGGCTGGAAACGGTGATGGAGCAAGGAGTTGCAGCCAAGCCAGCAGAGGCGATACTTTGATGGAGCTAAAACGAGGTGACGAGCTCGCCGACGCCGTCGGCGGTGTCATAGACGAGCTTTGCGACAGCGAGGGCGAGAGCGTCTGCGGCGTCCTGCGACGAGGCCTCGGCGTAGACGCGGACGACGTCCTCTGTGCCCGAGGGGCGGACAAAGGCGCGACCGGCATCGACAGGAGCAACGAGAGCGTCTATGGCATCCTGCATACCTGTCGGCTCGACAAGCTGCTGGTCGGCGTTGGTGGTGGTAAAGACGGTGCGGTCGGCGACGGCGACCTTGGTCAGCCGGTTCGGGTGCTCGGTGTAGAGGGCGGCCCAGTCTGCCACCGAGAGGCGGCGGATGCGGAGGATGGCCTCGATGAAGAGCATGTCCGAGATGGCGTCGCCAACGGCCTGGTTGACGACGGCGGGGAGGAGGCCGAGCTGTGTGGCGGCGGCGGCAGCCGGCGGGGCGGTGGCAAGGTCCGGGTTCGCCGCCACACGGGCGAGCGTCTCGACGTACTTGGGCGAGAAGACGACGGTGCCGTGGCCGTTGGCCTCAAAGTAGACGCCGATGTCGTAGGCCAGAGCGGCGTGATGCAGATGCTTGACGCCGGTCTTGGTAAACTCGACGGTAGCGCCGAGCTCATTGCGGAGGTAGGTGGTGGAGGCACCATTGGCGTAGGCGGTCTGGATGACGGCGAGCGAGAGCTCGTCGGCGGCGACGAGGCCGGCGTCGACGAGGACCTGCAGCGTCGATGAGATGTAGTCGGCCATGAGCGAGGCCAGCTTGTCGCCGTCGAGGAGGACAAAGCCCGCGGACGGCGAGTTGAAAAAGTAGACGACGCGGTCAGCGTCTCCGTCAAAGGCGGCGCAGCGATCGGCTGTCTCGGCGAGTACCGGCGGCGGCATCTGGTTCGACTTGACATAGTCGGCGCCGGCCTCATGATTGAGAATGTTCACCTCGGGGTCGCTGCCGTCGTTGACGATGGAGGCGTGTAGGGCAAAGTCGGGCCCAGCGGCGGCGAGGAGCGCGGCGAGCGCGGGCGCGCCGACGCCGTTGGCGCCGTCGACAAAGAGCTTACCGGCGTCAAACTCGCCGTTCCCGGCGCCACCGGCCTCCAGCAGCTGAGTATAGGCGGCGATGAGCTTGTTGTTGTAGCCGTCAAGAGTGGCGATGCCAAACTGAGGCTCGTTGCTGGCCTTGACCAGATAGTGGAGCTGAGGGGTGGAGACAAGGCCGACAGGGATGGCGTCGACGGCAGGGAGGACTGCGAGGCCAGCCTCGAGGGCGGCAACAAGCCGGTTGGCCGAGGGGCGGGTGTCGTGGCCGTAGCGGACAGCAGCCGGGGCATCGGGCGCTACGCTTGCGGCAGCGAGAGCGGCCGCAGCAAGCTCGGCCAGCTCATCGACCGTCGACGCGTTGGCCATGGCGACAGCGATCTTCTCGTATTCGGGCACAAGCATGTCGCCCGACGGCTCGACAAGCTTAACCCCATTGTCCGGTACGGGGTTGTGCGAGGCTGTAACCATGACGCCGACACACGCACCGCCGAGCGCCTTGGAGCGGATGGCAGCGAGGATGCCGACCTTGAACATGACCGAGTCGAGGAGGTCCGCGCTGTAGTGGGGGGCCT